TGTTTGTTTGGTTTTTTGCCTTTCGAGTGTGCCTTGTAGAAAAGGCTGGATGGCATCAGTGTGCGTTTGTATCTGAGAATATTTGGACTAATAGCTGGTCATTTAATGAGTGCATCGTCTGTTGTCACCAGGCCCCTCTCCTGCGGCTCCCTCTGATCTAGCTTTCTCTCTGCCTTGTCATTGTACTTTTGGCTGGAATTGGGTGCTTGTGGGAGATTATCGGCATAGCATTTGGGGCTCTATATTTAATGTTCTGCATTTTTATCTATTTTATTATGTAACTTAAGAGCAGCTTTCCAAATTCATCTTCACCAACTTTTTTTTTAAACAGGCATTCTCTAGGTTTATTGAAGCAAGACATTCAGACAGAAGGTTGCCTAACCAGGTCTTTCTGATGAAGTGAAAGTTTCCCTGTGTATTAATAATTGATTTACACTGTCCCTCTGTAAAATACTATCAACTTTTTTAGTCATGCACCTAAGAAACAGCTAACCAGTCCAAAATTAAGGGCTGATTGGAAAAGAATTCTCCAACTGCCTCCCCTCGTATTTCAAATATACAGCTGTACATTTCATCTGCATTTTTATAAATTTTTTTCTAAAAATATGACCTACCATTATAAACCGGTTTCAGTTGCTGCAAAATAACAGCTTAAGATATCTCAAAACAAAAGATTTGGAGATTTAAAGCAAGGGAATAATGCAATATGTACAGTAACCATGAATTTAAATGATATTAAAGATGCCGAATTTTTAAAGGAGAATCGGGTTGCTGTCAGACTCAGGTGGAAGCTTAGCCTCCTGGAAAATTATTGCTGACTTTTAAAGCAAATACAAAATCTAGACATGAAATAATCTCCCTATTCCTAAAGCAGCTGCTGAGGAGGAAAGCACAAACCCAAGAAATAGCTTGAAGACAGAGATTTAAAGCTTGAGTGTCCATAAATCATGCAGATGGCTCCCCCCGCCCCTTCTCTGGTGATTAATTCAGTATCTTCCCCAAAACAAAAACATGCTTTTTGAAATTAGAGATCAGATCATCAAGAGAAGCACCTAAGATTTCAAGGTCTAAACAAAAATTAATTTATTTTCTTTCTTCCTTGTACTTCTTGAAGACACAGACTGAGAAGAAAATCGGGATTAAAAGAGATGTGCTTAGGGTGAATTCATCTGCTTAAACCTCACAGGCTCGGAGATGAGTGATTAAAAAACCATCTCGAACTTGGATGGAATCCACGTTGGTGGTAATGCCCAATCCGCACTGGCGTTCCTCAGACCCCGAGTCGTTGTGAACCGGGCCCAGGGAACATTTGACTGGAGATGATACATGGATTATACAGGTCAATTATACACTTAATCTGCCTTCTGGAGGATTAAGTATTTGCAGATTGACTCTGTCTTTGGCTTCTCCGTGGCAGTTATCAGATCAGGAAAGGGCCCCTTACCAAACCCGCCTCATAAGCACTTAATCAGGCGGTGCGGTCAGGTTCGCATGGGACTGCTGCCCTGTGTTCTTTGCCTTGCACAGATTTTAATTTGCCGTTCTATTATCAAATCCGGTATTTGTCCACTTTATGTGTCAGCACAGTAATTTAGTGTGAATATTTCCCATTAAAGGGGTAATTTGAGAAATGAAACCTTTGCCAACTAAAATGTATTCGCTGTATTTATATATGAAGCCACAGATAACCTTATTTCAGTAACCTTATTAAGTTACAAAAGCATGATGCATGCGAACATCT